GGTGTGAAGCTTATTGCTGGTTGTAGGGACTTTCTGTAATATTGCGTATATTGAATTTTTTTGAGTTAAGTAAAGATGTGTTGGTATACCGGGCTCAACATTTGTGGGGAATTGTATGTATTTGCGAGTTGTATTAGTCGCAACGTTCAAAACAAGATGTTGATGCACAGCACACACAAAAAAAAATCTTGAAACGGCTAAAACCTTGACAGTTGCTTCTGTCAGAAGAACTAGTGACCCCATCGGGAAACAAGCGGATGTTAGTGATGGGCAATGAACAATGCAACACTGGTCAAAGAAGTGGGAAAAAATTCCACAAGTTGAAGAACTGTGCAAAATATCAAACTATCAGTGGCTAGAGGGAGTATAGCGGCGAAGTGGCGGTTATTTAAAATATCAAAAAATATAGGAAATTTAGGATCTTAGGGTTCAAAAAGCTCGTTTTTGATGCACTAGTAGTTTGTAAGAATAGAATGAGTTTTAAGATTGCGTCTTTTTTTCGTAAAAATTTTTTTTGTTTTGTTTCCAATTTTGAATATTTTCAAAATTTTTCTCGTTTTTACAGCTGATCAGAGCATTGCCTTTTTCAGCTACCGTACTCGCGACGAAGTGCAGGAGGTTCGTAAAACTCGCGATCCAATTACAGGCTTCAGAGATAAGATAATTGCTGCTGAGCTGGCAACCGAAGATGAACTTAAAGCAATTGATAAAGAGGCAAAGAAAGAGGTTTCTAGCTTTTTTTTATCAAGACAATTGAAATTTCTTCGTTCTTTGAGCATTTGCCTCATTCGTGTGGGAAGATTTGGTGGTGATGGAAATCTGTATTACAATGAAACGATAGTTGATCAAAGCACATAAACCATTAATGTTCCACTGTATCTTTACACATCCTTAGATGTATTGGCAAATCATTTCGCATCATTGCCAGTGAATTGAAAGTGCTGACATTCGTCGGTGCTTTACCAAAATCCTCGACGAGCAGCTGCGGAGCTCACAATACTACTGAAGTGCAACCATATCTGATTATTGGATTATTATATTAAGCGTACCGGTCCACTTTTTGTCCATCATATTTAGTAGCTGTCTCTACCGTTCTCTGGGAGCTATTCGAGGAAATTTTCCCAACCCCTAAAAAAGGAAACGGTGACGGATTGTCCTCCCACTGCACAGGAGAATTTCAGTGTTTATTTTTGAATGCGAGAAATTTCCTGGGTATTCTCACCGTGAGGTCATATTTTACAACGTATGTTTGTTCCTAGAGTTACCAGAGCCTGGTGATTGGTATCATATATTTCAGCTTCTGTTAAATATCGAATCTGATCCCAAAGATTTGCAGAAGGGCTTTTTTCCCCATTCTTAACTTACAGGGCTAATAGCAAATCTTATTTTCTTCGATTTTCTCTTTTTTTAATGGTACAAATTCATGGAAAAAAGACAGAGCGATAACAAACTTTGGTGACTAATTCTGTTTCGGAATTATCAATACCGTCTGGAAACTGTGTGTGGGGACCCGATGTCAGGACGCTGCGATAGCAGAAAACCTATTTTAATGTTTGCATAAACATTTTTCCAGGTTGATGAAGCCGTTAAAGTTGCGCACACGGAACCAGCACTGCCACGTGAAGGTCTATATTGCGACATTTATCATAACACACCACCGCAGTATGTACGTGGTATCACGCTGGATGAAAGCATCATACAGCCGTACTGCAGAACCGAAGATCTGCTGAAAAAACTGGGAGTGAACGCTTGAAAAATACATTATTTTCACTCGAAATCCAGTCATTTTTCATTTCTTACATCAAAAACTGGCCTTTCCAACAATGATTTTTGACCTCTTGATCGTTTTCTGGACATTTTGGTGGCAACAACTATGCGCAGCTTATTGCTGTATCCTAGAAAGATCGAAAGTTTCATGCTGGCAGTCTGGCTTGTCTAGGATTAATTCTTTAGAACTTATCCATATCGATAACACGAAGTCTCTGAAGTAAACTTGTGAGTCTCAAACGTAACACTCCCAAGTTTTTCTCTTTTGAATCATGTTTTGCGATTCGTTGGTGAATTTGAAGGGTCTTCAAGCTAAATCTTGAAATTCTGCCGCCAGACTGGCAGG